TGTGCCATCTTTCATCTGGTTGGCTGATATTTGGGTTCTTCTCCCAATTTACTGTGACATTCACTGCCTCTGTCCCACTGCTGCTGTTACGATGCACTAATTGTGCTTAATTGAGCCTATGTGGGGAGTGCCTTCGCCCAAAGTGGCAGCTCTAGCTTGGTCACATCGCTGGGTCTGCCTGCTAACGGGGTGTGCTCCTAGGCCCCAAGGTTTTGCTGGTGTAAGGTAGGGTGGGTGCAGTTTGGTATCGCATAAATAGAAAGTTCCTGTTCCTGTAGTTAGAGGTAACGCCCTCTCCGAGGACTCACGTAATGGACTGTGTGCTCCTGCTCTGACACAAGCACAGAGTGGAGCAGGATAATCACTGAGTCTTTCTAACGCACTGAAATGTCTGATGATATTGACAGCTCTGAAATTATCGTCAGGACAGGCAGTAGGAAAGTATGTTGCACTTCGGATCATCCTTTGGTAAACTAAGAAAATACATGTGATTCCTTAGTTAATTCCACAGTTGTTATCAGTGACGAATCCCTAACATTAATATTTAAGGAAAATTAAACCGAATGGGGAAGAACTTTTCTGTAATCCAAACATAGTTGGTGTGTCGTTATCTCCACATCAAGTTATGAAGCAGTATTCCACACTCCCAAGTTATTCCACACTCCTTTTGGAGCAACTTCCACTGAGTTGTAAGTATTCTGCAGCAGACTGCTCCCACGGAGGAAACCACGGCTTCCCCAATTATTCTATGCACATTATCATGTCCATTTTCTTCTTACCTCCACACAATATTCTTCCAAATGGCTAAATGTTTTAGAACCTGAATTTCTCCATTTCTGCATCCTGTTGAAATTAGGACTTCTGTGCAGAGCTGAACAGAGTTACTATAAGCTACTACCAGCTAAGGACAGGTAGCGTTTGTGGGATGTTTGCATCTGCATGGAGTGAACAGTGGAGGAGGACTGGATGCTGCAGATGTCCCATTTTGTACGAGCAAAGATGTTGGATGGGGTTGGCAGCGGCGACCAACACACGTATAAACATCATCTGATATCTTTCTGGTTTTGCTTCTTTTGCTGTGTGAATTCCTGAGCCTGGAGTCATTCATTAATCTCAGTGATTCTTGCCTGATTTTTTTGCCTTCTGATGACTTTGCTATGACAAATCACCAATGACAAGCCGAAACATCTTTAAGTAGCAAGAGGCTTTATAATGGTTCTCACTTGATAGTCAAAGGACTGAGAAAACTCTTGGTGCTCTGTTAAGAAGTCATTAGGAGCCGCTGATGCAAATAATATCACCAGCGTAAATATGTGCAATGTGTGCAGTGAGAGAAATTGAATTGCTCTCTGCAGAACTGCTTCTCAGCCAGTTTGCCAGCCCTGGGGTGAAAGATATACCGTCCCTTGTGATTTTCCATGCCTGTGCATTTTCTTCCCTTAGCTTTTATACTTGCTTTTAATTTTCTTTAGATTTTGCCCACAGCTTGTTGATTTTTAAGTAAAAAGAGCATGCTGCTCTAAATCCACTGATGGCTGCTTTTTTGCACGAATTCTTCTGGAAAGCTTTGTCTGCAACTGGGGAGATACTTTTTTTTTTTTTTTTTTTTTTTTTTTTTTGAGCAGCATATCAAATTCACAGTGGAAGTTTTCATGCTCAGGTGTCAGATATGCTCCTGAGTTCAGTGTTAGGGGGCTAAACGTATTGGCATTGCTCAGAAGATGGTGGCATTGCCACCTGGGACTTGTCCCTAGTGAGTGATTCTCATACCAGCTTTACAACTGAAAGGCAGTTTATACAAAGTTGGGCCTGATTTTTTTTTTTTTAATCTTTTAATTGACAGAACAGATTGCTGTTGACACAACTCATCATATGCTGAGCAGTAGCAAATTGTGCAGAGCTGTAGAAGATGTCTTTAAAAACAGCTTTGGCAAAAGGCACTTAGTGAGAGAAAACTTAATGTCTTATTTCAATTAAAGAGAACATTTATATGTGGGAAAAATAGCCAGATCCATTTTACAATGATATTAAAAGGCATTAGAGTGTCAGTAAAATAAACAAGGAAGGGTAGCAATGCATTTATCCAGCAGAAACTGCTAAAGACCTCAAAAGCATTATAAGATGAAAAGAGTGCGTGCAATGAGGATCTCCATTCCGTTTTAAATGATCAACCTATTAATCTGTTACCATTATTGAGGGCAGTGTTCCTTAAATACAGAAGAGATACATCAAGCTTCCAATTTCTTTTTGTCTTGATTTGAGCAATGCAATGTATGATTTCTATTTTAATGTCTATTTCAATAAAACTGATGGAGTGAGAGTCGTACCCAACAGGTCAAAAAGCTGAAACCTGATGGAAAGATTTCGGGGGTCTCATACCCCAGCCAGTGTTTACGTGCTTTCGTATCCTGACATTTGAAAGCAAGTCACTGAAGGATGTCTGTCACCATTTTTTTGATGTTTTTCTCAAATCTTTCACTTGGCTTTTAATGTTAGTCAATTTTGTTTTTAGCTTGCAGATTGCAGATAAGGCAGGAAAATATGTAACTGGAATGTAGCAGTGGCAGTATTCTTGGCTGTTTCAAGCTGTGCTGAAAAACATGCCTGAAAATAGTCTAAATAATAAAGACCAATTTATATATTTTAGGACAAGAAGTAAACAATATGATGATCAAGGCTAGCCTGTACTACACCAGATTGTAACACTTGAGCACTTTCTGCTTTTGACTAACTGTGTCACTTCCATATGGATTATTTTAGTTTACCTTAGGCAAAAAGCACAGTCATATTAATCGCTATGACATTTAACACTGTAGTCAGGCACATCCAGTGTTACTAGCTGTGAAAAATCTCGTTTCCAAAAGGATTAGCAATTACGAGGTCCACAAATGTTAACAACTTGTTGATACGGACTACAAGGTCTTATTTGATTTAATAATTTTTAACATGACTCCTGATGTCATGTTCTAAGACTATCTAGGTTTCTAGTGCTATTAGGCTTTCAATCAAAAAAAAAAAAAAAAAAAAGCTTGCTGTTTATAGAAGAGCACTTTCTGACTTTCTGCAGTTATATATATGAGCACAAGCATTCATGGACTTGGTTTCTTGTGGCTTTTTGGTCTTCCTAGTTCGACCACAAAAAGCTGTTCACAATGACTCCCACACACGACCGCCACGCTATCTGCAGCTCACTCCAGGAGCTGCTGCTTCTCCCTCTCTTGAGCGTGTGTGAGTCCAGATTCCACTGAATTTGGCCATTGAGTTCACAAGTTGTCAGAGTGGAGTTGAGACAGCATAACTGCATGTGAACAATTTCTCCGGAAAAGCTCGGCGTAAGCCCTTACTTGCGCTGATATCAGCAGCTACACGTATCGTGGTGGACATGTGAGGTGGGCAAAGCAGGGGAAGCCTGCCAGGGGACCTGGGGTCACGCAGGCCACCAGCATCCATCAGGGGCTGGATAACAGACTGCAGTGCAAGCAGCTACTTGCAAGGGAAAGGCTCTCAGTCACTAATTGGTTTCCGTAAGCCTTTAATGAATCCTCACTCTGAAAGGAAAATTTTCTTTATGGGAAGGATCCTTAGACATTTTAACTTCATGTGTCTGTGCAAGGGAAGTAAGGGGATCATCGAGGAGAAAAGGGGCTTCTGGATCAGGCACTAAACCAGTAACACACTCAGGAAGTGGCTGGATTGTGGCCATCTACAAATTATGTACGTACATCCCATAGCATTTCTTGGTGTGAATGTTTCTTAATCACAACACTATTAGAAGAAACCTCTTTTGTATATTTATGTTATTTTAAAAATAAATTACTAAAGTGGTGGTAGTCGAGCATTTATCTGAAATTTCTCATCCACTCCATGTGCAGCTGCTGCTGTCTGTGCTTGGACAACTGAATCTGCTTTTCTCTGACCCAAAGTAGGAGGGCTTTCCTCATCACAGGGGGCAAAAGAGGACTTGGGCTGTGGGCTGAGCAATCCCAAAGGAGGAAAGCACCAGTCCTGGAGAGAAGCTTGTCCCTGTCTCGTGGCCTACCAGCCACAAGCCTTCCTCATCACCATCTCCGCCTGCCTCCCAGACACTGGCTGTGAAGTTTTCGCTAGTTACTGGAGCATCATAAGTTACGGTGTTGGTAGAAACAGGTGAATAATTTATGTAAATAGCAGCTCTTCCTGATGCAAAACATCCGGGCTGCTTCGTAACTTGCACCTGCCTGACAATGGAGGCATGAGCCTAGCGGGGAACCCTGTGTCTGAGCCGGGATCCGACAGATCTGGGTTAATGACCCGAGCGGGCCCTCCAGGCCCTGTGCTTCTTCAGGCCTGCACAGTGAGAACCGACTCTTGCTCTTTTGTATTTTAGAGTGTAAGCTCCTTAAGATTGATGCCGTGTCTGTCATATTCACTTGAAGTGCTTAATGTGCTCGATCCAGTCCGTGCTCAGCAGGTCCTTGATATCATTTGGTGAATTTAAGTGTAATTGCCTGATTATCACATCCTATGGAGAAAATAATACATGATTATGCCATTAAAAGGTTGTATGCTGAGTAACTGGATGGAGATTGTACTGACAATTCAAATTTTTCCACTCTCTTGACGACTCACATTTCCAAAGTTTAGCAAAGCAGAATTTGTTGTACAAAGCTATGTAGCCTGCCAAGCTGGCTGTTTTGAGGCTGCCCTGGGTGTGCAGTTATCCACTCTTAGAGCTGAAGAGCCTAAAGCATCAGCACAATGCCGTATGGACCGGACAGCGAGGAGGTGTTAAAGGTTTCTTTGTTACTTGCTGAACAGCAAAGTGGTGCTGAGGCCAACACGTGTAGGCGCGGACACCCCTAGCTTTGCAACCGTACCAGCCATGCAAGGTCATGCTGCCTAATCTCTTCCTAGCACCTGCTTTTAATTTCTTATGTCTCTTCATTCTCCAATTAGCACGTCACTTTATTTTCAGCTGTGCCCTGTGCTTTTTCAACCTTACACCTCAGTCATCGCTTGAATTTTCAGCAGAGTGATTACCCAAACTCTTGTTGTACTTCATGGAAGCACCAGAGCTTTTCATGTGAAACTGTAGTTTGTTTTCGTCTTTTTTTTTCTTTTTTTTTTTTCTCTTCTGTAACCTCAGTTTTTCTGTAACCTCAGTCTTGGAAATAGCTGAATCCCTTGAGCAAAAGCTTCCCAAAAAAGATCCCATTAGTCAGACAGCTAACATCAGGAATGCTTAGCCTGAATTGTTCAAAGTTATCCTGAAGCAGAGTATTACAATGGAAAATGTTAAGTAGCCTCCGCATAAATGCGGCTACTTGTGCTGCCATTAATAACCTTGGCCTTGTAGAGAATGTTCTTGTGCTGGCTAAATTAGATTAACCAGTAAATTTTCTCCATCTTTAATGTCTATCAGATTTAAGACTTCTGGGCTTAAGCCTATTGCCACTAAAGCTGATGGTAAAACTCTGCTGGATTCTGTGTGAACGCCGACTTTTCAGGAATGATGTCAGAATTTCGCACTGCTGAAATTGGTGAGTGTGAACAATACAAGAATACGAACACTACAGTGCAAAATTAAAGTGAACAACTTTCAGACTAATTCTAAGTGAGAATGAGGATGTATATGGCACTTCAGTCAGTATTAACATTAGCTTGTAAAATTCTTTAAGTGTATTAAGAATACAGGAGTCCCCATGGCTTGTGGTAAAATTACATTTTTAATATTGTAGGAAAAAAAACCTGTGTGATGAAGGGTTCAATTCCATTTTTCTGAATGCTTCATATATCTGAAAAATTACAACTCTTGGGAGAGCATAATATCACATCTAAAGTCATATTAGTATTTAATGTTTTATCATTGTAGTTCTGCTTGCGGCCTCTGCACCTTATTCCATCACTCTCATATATGCCGTAGTGTTATTCAGATTTAAACAGCTTTTACCATTCCCTGGCAAGAAAGCCATTTCAGGGATATTGTCTGCGCTGCTTGCTAAAAAACATGATAATGTAAGCTGCTGCCCTTTTCAACTGGTGATCGTTGCCTGGTGAAATAGAGGGTAAGCAAGTTGCATCCCAGGGTCTCAGCCAGCATAATGCCACTCTGGCATAGTAATATATGTGGTACCCCTAAGCAGAGGGGAGACATTTATGGATTTAAAATATTGAGATGCATTGTTTTGTATTTTGTATGCACTAGACACTTTTTTGTCCCCATCTAAGCCTAGAGACTGGATTCAAGGGTTTTGCTAACTGTGGAAAGCCAGAGCACAGTCCCAGCAGAGGAGAGCTGACATCCCAGCAAATGTGGGGGGACAGGGGTAACATCTGACCCAAATCAGACAGGGTGTCCACATGCTTGTGTCTGTCACACAGAGGATTCACAGCTCAGAAATGCCCACCCTGCAAAACAGTCAGGCCTGCTACAAATGAGCCTCTCCGTTCTGGAGCGCTCTGCTGAGCTAAATGGGAGAACCTCTCTGGAGCTTGCTCATCGCTGGTTTTAATAGCAGCATTCTCATCTTGTTGTGGGGGGCTTTAATTGTGCACATCCCATTAGTGCTAATGGAGTTCTGCACCTGAAATCCTGTGTATGGAGATGAGACCATAAATCTAGGGTTACAACCTCATTAAAGTTGTTTATTTCACGTGTAATAGCCCCTTTGCCACCAGGATACCTTAATTCATGACTTTATTTGTCCCTTTGAATAAAGCCTCCGCGTCTCAAGACTATAACTGCCTCTTCTGTGCGGTGCCCTGAGATGACCGCTCATACTTTTCCCCACCTCTATTGTGCAGCACGTCAAAACAACCAGGAGCCATCTCCAGAGAGTTACTGGGAGCACGATGCAGAGAGATTATGAGTGCTGGAGGTTGCTGCTAGGCTATGCTGTTTCTCAGCAGTATTTATCACAGCTTTTGGGGACGTAGCTGTACTCGGTGCTTTCCCATGGGCAGTGGCGCCGGGTGCAGCAGCAGCTGGGCTGGAGCTGGAGAAGGTGCAGGGGTGCACCAAGGAGTGAGCTGCCGTGGCATGTAGTGGGGTGGGAAAAGGCTCTGAAGTAACAGAAGGGGAAAAGTGACAGTGGGAAAGCCAGAAGAGGGCTCAGGCTGGCAGAACTGAAGAGGGGAGATGTTTCCTGAGTGTCAAAACTAGGCTTAAGTCTTGTGAAGATGGAGCCCTTGGTCATGTTCTTGTGGCCTTCTCTGCCCTGAATCCTGTTGGTGCTATATACAAGAACAGCAGGGTGTTTTTAAGATATCACAAATAAAGGATGACAAAAAAAAAAAAAGTGTTTTATTCTAAAAACTTTTGTTTTGAACTTTATTTTTGCAGCAGCGATGATTTTGTTTGTACTGTTCATGGAAAGATTTCCCATCTCCAAGCCAGGACTTTGTACAGGTGTTAGTAAGCTTTGTGGCTGTTACAATTTGACCCCAAAAGCCTGGCTTGCCAAAGAAATTAAACGAAGTCTGAACATTGTAAGTGGGGGGGGGAGGGGGGGATGTATCAAGGTTAATGGTCATTTGAGAGTATTGGAGTATTGGTCTTTTCTGACATGGAAGTGTTAAAGGAAAAATAAAAAATCTGCTTTAGGCAGTGGGATTTTCATGACCATCGTGCTCTCAGCAGTGAGTGCTGAGGCTGCAGGGAGGATGGGGAAGCGAGTGCCTGTGCTTTGGCCAGGGCGGTGTGTCCGGGGCAGCAGAGGCGGGGGTGAAGAAGCCATCCTGCAGGCAGGCTGCTTCAAACACACAGGTGGGAAGATGCTAGCTAAAATTATAAGCAAAGGGTGGGTCATTTAAGAAACCCTCTGGTAGGTGAGAGGAAATGGGAGGATGAGAGGTGCAGAGTTTAATTCCCACCCTGGCAAATTATTGCTGGCTTCAAGAAATGCCCATATATGAGGAAGATGTGAAAGATGCAAGATGTGAGGAAGATGCAAGTGTGGATTTTCTTCTTACTGTGTTGGGAAGAGTGTTGCATGGAGGAAGCTGAAGTTAGGTAGAAAATCACAAATGTGAGCAGACTGGAGGCAATGATGAGCAAGCTGCTGCAAGCGGTTGGCCAGTGTTGGCGAGCTGCGAGGAGAGAGTAGAGATCTGAGCAGAGGTAACACTAAATGGAGATGAAATTGGTGGAATAGATTTTTTTTTTCCCCAGGTTGTAGTTATTTAGTTCACAGACACCTTATTTTGGAGAATCAGAGTGTGTCCCTACAAGTTAGGTCTGCAAAACAGAGCCCAACCCCTTTACCAAAGCCCCATTTTCATTGTATCTCCCTGCACTATTCTGTGCTGCCCAGTGATTGCCTCTTCTGTTTGCATGTCCAAGTCTCTCGGTAAACTTTAACAGCATTGCACAGCTTCCACTTCACTTTCACATTCGATTTTCAATATGTAACTCGTGGAGTTAATTCACAAAGGTATTTAGCACAGTTTGAAACACCTCATTTGGAGATGGATCCAGATGAGGCAGCAGCAGCTATCGAGCTCCACGTTGTGCAATGAAATTATAACCAAACTGGAACTTCTTCCCCCTGTTCCTTCCACTTCCATTTTGTTCCCTTGATCATTTAAGTGGATAATTGATATTCAGGGTGCCCACAAGTACCCGTTTCACCTGCGGGTGCATGGTACCCTGGGCAGCTGAACACATCGCAGTGACCTTAGATGTGTTTTTATTGGTTTTGAGGCTTGGTTATTGGAGACAGCTTTGAGATTTGGGGTGTACTGAAGGTATTTGTCTGCTCTGCTCTGATAAAGGTATGCCTACCGCTGGCACTTGCTCAGGCTCCAGCATCTCAAACACAGGCAGCATCCAGGCACAGCGTTCCCTTTCCCCATCCCTAATTGAGACCATCATTTCTTAACCATCCCCTGGTGCCCTGCTGGCACGGCGAGCAGAGAAGCCGTCCTTGCAGTCATTCCATTTGTGCAGGCCTAGGGAGAGAGTGAGGGCCCTTGAGTTGAGGACCCTTCAGTGAAACTGCTGTCTCTACCCCTTTTGTGATAATCACAGATATTTATCTATTAAAAGAAACAAATTCAGACACTGGTTTGTACCTACTTTCTGTTCTTCTGTGCTCATCTGCTTTGTTGCTCCAGAGCTGTGCAGTTTTTATGTTGTTTGCAAAGGCTTTTTATTTTTGACCAAATCAGCACAAAGTTGTAGTGGTGGTAGAAATCAGGCTTTTTTTTTTTTTTTTTTTTTTAATATCTGGCTTTGAGTCATGTTTCACATTGGCAAGGAATAAATATAAGCATTCTATTGTTTCTCTGTGCAATTATTGTTTCTCTGTGCAATTATTTTTTGTCCAGGATTTTAGGTGTGTACTGTGCTCCATGGAGAGTGTATCCCACAGCTCCTTGTGAAACTTTGCTGAACATTGATCCTACCTGGCCCAACATTAGGAATTCACCTGATGGGGAAGCACTGCCAGGAGCCACCTCCTAGACCAGATCCTGCAAAGCTGGTGCCACTGGGGTTGTGGCTGCTGTGCCACCCAGCTTGCTGGTTGCTGTCCACAGCAAACCTTTTGATGGGGTCACACAAGCTTCCACCACCTGCAAAGGGCTCTGGTGGATCACTGGCCCATGGTGACATTCATCTCAACTGCCTCCTGCTGCCTGTGCTGGACACAATCATCTGGGCGGCTCAGAGAATGTGTGGTGGTTGGGGGACCAATGTCAGCACCTACTTTTGGATGAGATGTTTGTGCTCTGAGCCCCACTGTTATGTATAGACAAGTCCATATCTTCATCCATGTGTACTACTCTGAATTTCTACTTGGAAATGTGTGACCCTGCACATAAGGAGTGTCCTTGCTGAGCGTTGCCACCCTCAGCTGTGTGCCACCAGCAGGTGCTGTGCATGTGTGCTGATACCTGCCCTGAAAACCAAGTCTCCGCTGATAATCAGCCTTCAAAGTGCAGCGTGCACCCGTCCTGGGGAGAGCTTCATGTTGCTTACATGGAGTGTATCACGTTGCCGGCTTTCTCGATGTTTTTGAATAGCTACAAATATTTTCTATCGAGTTTTATTAAGTGAGACCCACATACTTCTTCCAGCTGTGACCGCGCGGTCTGTTTCTACATAGCTGCTCACCCCGCCCTTGCTCAGCAACACTTCACAGTCATGCTGTGGTGCAGATGAAGAATTTGGGTTTGAAGCTGGCAATCTGATTCCCATTAAAGCTCTATGGAAATTTGCCACACACCTGCCTAGAAAGCTGGAATAAATAATTCAGTGCTGCTCACTGGATACCTAATGGCAAGCAGATAACTTGGATACCCTTGTGCTGGGTTCGGCTCATCAGCCCTGTCCTTTCATGACAAGAGAAGGAAAAAGAAAGCAACAAAAAAGTAGCAAAACAGGCGTGGAGAGGTTAAAAAAGGCTGGGGACTTTCTCCTGGAATCAGCTTTCAGCCCTTCTGAAATGCAGGGGCTGACATCTGGTCCAGCTGAGGAATGCAGCAGCGAGAGCAAGCTGCTGGACCCGATCACACTCACTGTGGATAGTCAGCAGCAACGAGAACGCGGCCGAGCTAATTGCTACATGTTAATAGCCATACAAGGCAAAAAAAATAGAGAGAAAAATTAAATCTTCATGTCTGACACATTTTTGGAAACACCTTCAGACTTTAGGAGCGAATGTTGTAAGTAGAGTTGAGACTCCTCGCTGCCTGAATCGCTTCTGCAAGCAAGGCCACTTCATCTATTAGCCACTGACTGCGGGAGCAGCTCTCCTGCGGGCATGATGGATTTGCCATCGCTTGGATGCAGCCACAGAAACTTATTTAGAAAGCAAGGCATAAAAGGAGCTGTGGGCAGAAATTTCTGGGTCCAGGTCCTGTGCTGCTTAAAAAGTCAGCTGTTTGCCTGGCTTTCTTAGTGCTGGAGCTGCTGTTATCAGGTGTAGCTGCCATTCCTTTGTCTGACATTTCATAGCTGTGAAAGGCTAGGCATTTTGCACGAGGTGGTGAAAATATCATTTTTTTGGGGAGGGGGAGAGGAGGAGGGAGGGTGAGGGAAGTTTACAAGATAATCTATGAGAAAATAAACTTAACAAATACCAGTTTACTTAAAAAAATGCAACAACCTTGATTAGCATAAAATCATATTAGTTTTTTTTTTTTTTTTTTCCACAACACCTTTTAATTATCCCTGTTTCCTATTCCTGAAAGTGTTGTAATCCCTGCCCCCAGGCTGTTGGTGATCTATAAATTACATTGTAGGCGATATATCTAATTTAGCAAGAATGATGCTCCAGCTCCGATACGTGATGCAGCTTGTCAGAAAAGATAATCTAATCTTGCATTAGATTAGATTTGTGTTAATAAACATATTAATAGATTAAGAATGTAGTAACAGTTGCCGTTCGACTTTGCCTCGTGGGCTTCAGTGACAGCTCTCCCACTCCTGCCCCATCGCCAAGCCCACAACTGCACCTCACGCGCAGCAGATTGTTTCAGTTCATTCTCACCAAAAGCTAAAACAAAATCAGCTGAGTGGAAGAGACATCTGTTAATCCTCTGCAACTCTTTCACCTACGGACTTGTCATTGCAGTCTTGGTCTTGAGAAAGAAAAAATAAAAATACTGATCTTGGCTTTGCACACCTGATGCTACCCAAGCTGCCGAGCAGCCCCATTGCAGCCCTGGTTGCCCTACACCAGTTGTGGTGGGACCCTGACCCAGAGGCCTTGGGGGAGCACACACCAAGCTGGGGGTGCAGCTCTGCAGGGAGGGGAGGACTTTCAGAGCAAGCAGGAGAGGCAGACCAGGGGGAAGATCTGCTGGATAGGTAGGTGCCATTCTCACAGAGCTGCTTTCCAGCGCTGCAGTCTCTGGGCAGACGTAAATAATATTGGTGAATTAAACAGAAGTGGTTTCTACTATTACGTAGCTATTGTAATTATTTCCAAGCTGTATGGCAATGAGATTTTTCTGGTGTGTCTATGCTCAGAGGGAAACTGTAGGTAGGTCTGTATGCTCAATTTCAGCATTTAATCTCGGGACAAGTAGGTTAACAAGTAGTCTCTCAATGACATTACAGTATATTGTGTTTACGATGTCAAACTAAGGCCATTCTGATTTTTTGACTTCTATAAAACACCCCATATACTGTACTAGGAAATAGTCACTTTCTTACATATGATGTGCCAGGTTGGTATAGCGAGACAGTTTTGGTATGTTTCCAAAGAAACTAGACTTCTGGGATTTTTTTATTTCATTCCGCCCAATGCAACCTGATCTACTGTGGGTCCCATGTGCAGTCAGTTTATGTACCTTTGGCCACACAGCCCCACATGATTACTGGCTGACTTTCTTGGCTCTTAGGAAAAACTTTCAGGCAATTTTTGATGTTATCCCCAAACAAGGAGAAACAGGGAGCTTGCTGGTCCTGGTTCTGGACACAAGCATCGGGGAAAAAGGCACATCTCTTCAAATAAAGGGTTATTTTAAAAACGACTACCCTGACCTGCATTGTTCTTATATGCGAGATGGCTTCTTTATCAGGAAGAAACAACATTCTCACATCCCTAATTGCAGACTGGAACAGATCTTGAAACATAAAAATCTACTTTACTAATAAAATCTATCAATCAGCTAAACATGCGTGCCCAATAACTTGCAGTAGGTCACGGTAATTGTTCCCTGGAAAACCCTTGGGGTTTGTAATATTTATAAAAATACATGTTATAATTTCTGCATATTTGTTTTCATTTGGTGATGTCAGCGTGCCAAATTTATACATAATGGGATCCTTTCACCTCGTAGTTAACTACTGGACAAGCCTTGTGCCCCTGGCTTCAGTCTCCCAGCTATTAACTCTGTTTTCCAGGGAAGCCAGGACATTCCTCGCCTTGCTCCCAGGCAGGGGACAGGGATTGGGATGATGCTGAGGGAGATGAATGCTGCAGCAGCACTACTGGAGCAGTAACACTGCCCATCGGGCTGCTCAGCTCAGTGGGGTCTGGTCCTGAACCCTACTGATGCTGCCCACTAAAGGATTTGGGAGCAGGGTGGGAAAGATTTTTTTTTTAGGAAGTTTGACTCAAGATGCAGATTTTTTAGCCTGAACCTTTTTTCTGCTGCCAGCCAGGGAGATCCCTGCTGGTAGCTTCTGCGTGAGGGATGGACAGTGGGGAGGAAGTGGCGTGCAGTCAAGAAGATGCAGGCTTTGGGAGCTGAAGTGACAGCTCTGCCCTCTCTCACAGAAGCTAAATGAGTGTTTCTCAATCTTTCAAAATCAAAGGACCAACAAGCCTTTTTGATCTGAGCATAAGCAGCCAGGGAGCGAGCTCTGCCTGTGGGCAGGCGCTGACACAAGTGCCTGCCAACTGCGTGGGATGGTGTGTGTGTGTGTTTTGGTTTAGTTTCTTAATTATTTTTCTGCAATCAGTTCACGGACCACCTTCTGGTGTCTTATGGATTGCCTGTTGCCCATGGGCCCCACGGAGCAGTGCTGGCTGGATGACTCTTATTAGCTCACATGGGCTGCACTGGAGGCATTACAGATGAAGGATTTATGTGCTGTTACATATATTCACCGAAATAATCGCCTGTCTCGAGTACTTTGATACTGATAAGTGACTGAAGTAGAATCTGTGTTCCTATCTAGTCTTACATGCCTTGTTTTGCAATTATCCAGCTTCACTCAATAGTTTCTTCTTATAGGGTTAAATTTAGCAATTATTTCTTTGCAATGATCTATATTAATTCAAGCATTACATCCAAGAGTTTAACGTAATGTGTGCATTTCAGGTCAAATGTTAGAGACTTCCCAGTATCTGTAATGATCTTTGTATTTTAAATGGAGTTTTTTCTTTTTTTTCTGAAGATCGGAAATTGGAAGATGGATGCTCTCTTCTCAACCCATCTGAACATAGAAATAAAGTTGCAGAGGAGCTTTAAGACCAGCTTGGGGTGGTTTTGGTTTACTGAGCTCGCTGCTTCACAACAAGCACGAGGTCCTTGGTGAGATTAAAATCCCACAGGAGGCTGGCAAGCACCCCTGTGGGACTTTGTCCTGAGGAAGAGAGCTGTGTGCTGCTGCCTCATGTGCTAATCAGCTGGGGTCCTTCTTGGGGACACCTATTTCTGTTGTGTCAAATTATCGAGGCTCGGTGGGTGTTTCTTGGTGGTCACCAGCCTGCACTGTGCTAATACACAGCTCAGGGAGGAGTCACCCACCCCATGGGGTGGCTTCAAGCTGAGCCCTGGTGGTCTCAAGCAGCCGTGGTTTCTTGGTCCTCCATCTCCATCTGGGGCTGTCCCCAGAGAAACAGGGGGTGCAAGGAGCCTAGGAAAGGTGGGTAATGGTATGGTAATGACAAGGTAAATCAATTACTGTGTGTGAAAAGGGTAATTAGTGAGCAGGTGATGTTTAGCAGCTGGGCTTTCAACCTGTTTGCTCAGGCCATTTTTTTTCAGAAGTGACTGATAGGCTACAGTGCTTGATCTTCTGGGTAAATACAGCTTGTTTTGTGGGTAACAGGCTGAAGTGATAAATCTGGCTACTCTGCAGTAAAGCTTAACCCTGCCTGTGAACAGCCACTGTAAAAACATTTGGGGCATGTGCTGCATTTTAAGCACCGTTGTCGTGGCTGTTTTTGTTGCTGTTGCAAAACACTGGAAGAGACAAGGCAACAGGATTATAGAGTTCTCTGTCTCTCTTTTGCTTGTTCCTAATCTTAAAGTGATTTTTTTCAGTCATAAATAGCATTCTTTTCATTTTCTTTTAATTTTGTCTGCCGCGTTGGATGTCAGATCTGGTTTATATACTCAGTGTACACACACATTCCTTAAAATAGAGGGATCCTGCTATTTTGCCTTAGGCACTTCACAGCCCATTCCTGGTTATAGCAACAGCAAATCTAGTCGAGGAGCAGCAATACCTTCTGCCCTGCCAAGTACACCACTTGCAGCCGAGCTGCTGCAGACATTCAGCCTCTTTGCTCTCTTCACACCTTACCTGTCCCATAGCTAAGGAAAACTAGATATGCCCTCACAGATGAGCAATTAGGGTATTCTTTGGCCAAAGGAGATGATGAAGAGGAACATATGTACCTGCCCTATGTGAAACGTGAACTCTCTCTCCTACATTGACCTTAACAGTGTGGAAAGTGGTGGTGCAATGATTTTCTTTTGTGGCTCTTGGTGCCTGCTGATTATTTTCTTTAAGTGTCATTTCCTGCGAGCACAGAAAAATCTCAGGTTTCAATTTGTATTAAAGAAAGTAATTTTCTAAGCATCACTTAGTGTTTGTTGAAGAAAAGCCTGAAAGAAAAACTTCAAGGCTTGAGATCCAAAAGGTGAAGAAGGAGAAACCCACAGGGTATTATTACGAAGACAAACAAGCCAACCAACCTGACAAACGCAGAATGCTCCTGAGCAGGGCTGGCAGTGCTGTCTGTTGTTACACTGACGTTGTCAATCCTCCTCCTCCTCCTCCCCCTTTTCTTCTAATTTTGTGAGCGGCGTTTTTATAAATGTTGCTTCTTGGACGGGCTTGGTGCTGGTGACGAGGGCCGTCGGGAGGAGCGCTGCCATCCGACCCGACCCGTGCCGAGCTCCCTGATC